CTGGAACGACATGAAGGAATTGTATTAGTGTAACTACCTGGTTAGTGGAGTCAGTGTTCCCATCATGATTTGAATGGGATTGCATTACAAGGTTTACATTACAAGTATTTTATGTTAAGAAAAAAAACTTGTAGGAGTTAACTCCTTGCTTAGTTTAAAGATTTAAAAGAGTTTCAAGTAGGGTTTTGAGGTTACCATCTTGCAGAAGAGAAGCGCTCATGCTTAGGTGTGCACCTTTATTAACAACAATATTGTTTACATTACTCAGTGAAGCACAACTGTGCTAATGCAGTTCTAATATCATTCTCAGTCATCTGTTTCCATTATTAAAGCAATTGCAGTTCGAACAGCAAAAATAGCAGAAATTTTGGTTGTTTCCAACATTGTTTCAAGCAAGGTAAATTCACAAAGTAATGTAAATAAAAAATATTTGACATAATTGGTTCTAAATGAATTTTGCTCATGGGTATTTGCCTAAAATGGGTTGAAATAATACAATTACAAATATAAGTAAAATATAGCACAATTCAAAGAGGTTGAAAAATTCAATTTTGTGGTAAAAGTTTTTCTTAAGTTCGTTCAACAACTTTTTTCTTTTGAGTGTAGACACCATTATTATGTACATATACTATTATTATGTACATATACATATACACATGTTTTTCCAATTGATTTTTGCTGAAACCATCAAAACAAAAAGGTTAAAGCTTTAAATTTAAAGTTAGCAATGTAAATGGCATGGCATCTTTAAATTGTTTATTTATTATCGTCATTATCTTCACCATAATTTCAGTCAAATATTAATATTGAAGTACTACAGTATATGTCATCATGCTTCAAACAGTATTTCATTATATAAACAGTGGGTACGGAAAGCATTTAGCCCCCCTTACATTTTTCATTCTTTGTTATATTGCAGCCTTTTTGCAGATTTATTGCAGATTTTAAAAAGAAAAACTGAAATATCACATGGTGATATCTCAGGTATTCAGACCATTTGCTCAGTATTTAGTAGAAGCACCCTTTTGTACGTAACACAGCCATGAGTCTTTTTGGGAAAGATGCAACAAGTTTTTCACACCTGGATTCGGGGATCCTCTGCCATTCCATGCTCTCCAGCTCTGTCAGGTTGGATGGTAAATGTTGGTGGACAGCATATTTAAGACTCTCCATAGTTGCTCAATTGGGTTATAGTCAGGGCTCTGGGTGGGCCATTTAAGAACAGTCACAGAAGCCAGTCATTTTAGCTGTGTGATCATTGTCTAGTTGGAAAGTAAACTCTTGACCCAGGCTGAGGTCCTGAGGCAAGAATTAAGGCCAAACAGTTCTATTTTGGTCTCATCAGACCAGAGAATCTTCACCATTTTAGCAATCTCCATGCAGGATTTCATGTGTCTTGCACGGAGGAGAGGCTTCCGTCGAGCCACTCTGCTGTACAGCCCTGACTGCTGGAGGGCTGTGATGGTTGACTTCCTGCAGTTTTCTCCCATCTCCTCACTGTATCTCTGCACCTCAGCCACAGTGATTTTTGGGTTCTGCTTTACCTCTCTCACCAAGGCTCTTCTCTCCGGATAGATCAATTTGGGATGGGTTCTGGTAAACCTCTTCCATTTAGGTTTTATGGAGGCCTGTGTTCTTAGGAACCTAAATTTTTTTTTTTTCTAACCTTGGCCAGGTCTGTGCCTTGCCACAATTTTGTCTCTGAGCTCTTACGGCACTTCATTTGACCTCATGACTCTCATTTGCTCAGACTTGCATTGTGAGCTGCAAGTATAAAGTGAGGTGTGTGGCTTTCCTAATCCAGCCCAATCAGAAAAATCAAACACAGCTGGACTCAAATGAAGGTGAAGAACCATCTCAAAAGTGATCAGAAGAAATTGACAGCACCTGAGTTAAATGTATGAGCGTCACAACAAAGGGTCTGGATACTTAGGACCATGTGATATATCAGTTTTTCTTTTTTAATAATTTTACAAAAATGTCAACATTTCTGTGTTTTCCTGTCATTATGGGGTGCTGTGTTTACATTAATGAGGAAATTAATGAGGAAAAAATATCTTAAATGGTTTTAGCAATAGGCTGCAAAATACTGAATACTTTCCTTACTCACTGTATATGCACACACACATAATAATAATGATAAAATAAATGTATTTCTTTCTCTAAAAAATTACTTTTTTCTCAAACCAGAATTTTAATCTTAAAAATATCTTAAATATCCTAAAATAAACATTGCAAAAATGTACCTGCATACAAAAAAAATACCAACAATACAAAACATTTAACTGTATTTTTATATTAAAGAACATGTAAACAGCAAGAAATTCACTCTTCAAACAACACAGGTCAATAAATGTGAAATATTTTCAATTTCTTAATTTTTATTAAGCAAATTCCAGATTACAAAGAAGAAATGCCACAGTCTCAGTAATAATAATAATAATAATAATAATAATAATAATAATAATAATAATAACTGTCATCATCATCTTAAGTATCAGGCACAATTGCTTTGGCATTATGGAATGAAAGGCATGCGAAGCTGAAGAAACAGAAAACTAAAAAACATTTAGCTGAGAGAGAAAAAAAATCGAGAAATGAAAGGTAAAAGAGGAGAAGACAAGTCAAATGAGTGAGGCCGTTTTAGCTTAATGGGACTTCGAGAGAGACAAATCAAGACAAAGGACAGACCACGGGGAGAAAGCAGAATAATAAAAACCCTTAGAGGAAAAGGCTATGAAGATGAAAAAATAAATAAAAAATGTCATGCAAAATGGTACATACATATTTATAAGCCAGACCCTCAGCGTAGACGGCAACAACAACAAATGTCAACTGGAACTGCGAGAGCAGAAAGCTCATTATAACGCAATTATTAGCAAAACACAAAAACATAAACATATATTCACATTTTTCAGACTTAAAAGCAGACTAAATTTGTACCATCAGCAATGCTTGAATAAATATTAGGATCCAAAATCATTCCCTCTACTCTTTTCAGTTTCCATAAATCAAACCTTCATTTCTGCATATTTCTCGCATAATATGGCTATAATATAGATTATTATTCTATGAATTTCTTTTCTATCCAGCAGGAGCCAGTCCTGTTCTTCATTACTATTTATATTTATATAACTATTTATCTTGACAATATTTACACACAATGATGAACTCTATCAGTTATAACACTCTGGAAAATATTTCAAGCTTTTGTGCATGATAATATTAAGAGGTAATTAAGATAATCTCTGTTAGTTAACATACTTTATTTTTGAGCTATTTTTCTACAAAGGTCAACATATAGGCATTAGGAAAAATTAGATTTTTCGGTTTAATATTCATACTGTACAAACTGTCCTTACTGCATTGCTCAATCGATGCAGCACCGCAGGCACCAGGTATGGAAGTGCTGACTCATCTGCCTCGTTTTAGTCAATGAATCGAATACAAATTTCATTTAGCCCTGCTTGTGGTTCTGACTAGTCATTCTTTAATGCACTAATAATTCTTCGCCACTAGATGGCGCAGTTTACTAGAGGTGGAGAACAAAATCATATTGCTTTGTGCCAGAGCCGTAACTGCCATAGACATTGAGGGAAACATGACTGCTTATGAACAAATTGTCCTTCTAAGTGTTCGATATTGATGCTGTTTGTTGTAAGGGTGACACAAAGTTTTAAAAGCACATTGTTAAGCTGGTTATGAAGTCTAATAACGCCAATTCCTGTTTAAAGGACAGAGAAGAAAATCGATAAAAAGGCGGGCTTTGCTGTTTAACGTTACTGAACCCAGAGACAAACACAAATTTCAGCTCGATGCTTCCGTTTTTAACGGTGAAAATTATGAGGTAAGTAAGTTGCTAAGTATTCATATTTAAACACTGTTTAATGAAAGAAAAATAAAAAAATAAACCCTTACGAAAACTAACCATGTTTTAAGTGGTAAATGTAACCATAGTGCATTTACCTTAGACGGACTTGGGGTTGAGATGGTTAATGTTGTAAAACCATAGATAATTGGGTTTTGCAACACTAACCCATAGTTTAACATTGATAGTTAATAATTGGTTATTAAAATGGTAGTAAAACACAATTTACCCTGCTGAAAACAACCAGCTTATACCCTGCTAAGCTGGTTCGCTGGTTTTAGTTGGTTGACCAGCCTGGTTTTAAAGTTGAAGTGGCCAAAACCCCTCTAAAACCAGGCTGGTCAACCAGATAAAACCAGCCAACCAGCTTAGGCTGGTTTAAGCAGTTTGTTTTCAGCAGGGCTAGCTAGACCAATTGTAAAACCATGTCCTGTGACCCAAAATGCACATTTTTCTAATATTTAATTTGAAAAGTAGACATGTTTACTACAAATAAAAACAAAAATCATGGGCACAGTTGTTAAACAATGATAACTAGATTTTAACATTATCCAACAGACAGCCTAACAAAATCGAACCCATCCTGTTATGTTGGGGAAACTCTTGTCAGAATATTGGTCATATTCATGAAGCTATTATAAATATTTAATTAATGCTCTTACAGAAATCTTTTTTTTTTTTGTAAAATCCCTGAAGTTCCCATAATAGCCCTTTAAGATGTACGCCCGGAGGTCTTTGAAGCTAGAGATAATAAACTCTTACTACAAGTTAACTTGGGACAGTTGTTAAATAAAATGCACCCCATTTAGACGGTTCAAACCTGACCCTAGTCTTACACTTGCTGGATTCAAAATATGTGGGAGCTGTATTAAATGGTACAAATCACATACTGTATGCTTCGCAACTTCAGAAACCAACAGACACTGCATTCATTTTGTGTTTAGTTTTTATTTTCTTACATTTTTTGTTTTAATTTATAACTGGAAGATGTGTCGGATATAGTGTTGCTCGAAGGGTTAAACTTGTAGCTCTGTATTGGCTTTGCAATAATGTTGTTTATAGTAAAAATGTAAAAAAATAAAATAAAATAAATAAATATATATATATATATATATATATATATATTTATATACTGATTAAAATAGTTAAACCTGATTAATAGTATTTTTGTTTTACTATTATTTAGTTTCTCCCCCAATGTCCATTACATAGTTACGGCCTTGCTTTGTGCTATTATTAAAGGCTTTCTCATGCTGATTTCTTTAATTACTTTTCATAATTCCATAACAGGTCTACTCTAAAAGATGATCTCTAACACTGCTGTGCTGCAATAGGCACAGGATGGATATACAATAGCTTCTCTCATAATATAGTATACACGTAAGGTTTAGATTCTTTTTGTATGATAAACGATTAAATTAATAGTTGTAGTAATAATAATATCAATAATAAAAGCGAAGTAACGGCTGCATTTTTAAGATGATGACTGAACAGCGAAGGAGAGAATATCTCCTGCATTCATATACTGTAGGAGTCAGTCTCCACTCTAGATTAAAGTAAGTTGTTTCAAATGGTTTCCTTTTCGTATCGTGCTATGTCACTGCTAGACGGTGTTATTTTTTTATTCAATATGAGAGCACAAGAAAACACAAGGCATATTGAGGGCCGTGGGGCCAAGCGTACAACATCATCCCAGTAAAGAAACATCAGTCAGCTTTGTAGAACATCATCTACCCTGATGTACAAATCTAAAAACATTACAAATTGATAGTAAAGGACGAATCGGACCCCTGCACCTAAAGTTTTCCTTGCCCACACGATAAAACATAATATGTTGAACTACACTAGATGACTACTGCGGTTTATATGTGTTATGTACAGAAATTGTCCACTGAAACACATCTGTGACACCGTTTAAAATAAAATCGGCCACCTTTGGGGGCGCATTCGTGTCTTTATGCTTTAGTATAAACAAGGAATGATATAAACAGGCTCATGACACTCAAGATTTATGAAGTGGAATGAAAAAATGGACTCAGTTTTTACATACAAATTTAAATATGTATACAATTATTCTCAACTACTTCGGTCAGTATTTTGCACAATTTTTTCTGTTTTCATCCTCCTCCATACATTCGTTCTATATGTATAAATCCCAATTCCTTCAGTCCTTTGTTAAATCTCACTCTGAGAATCTGTTAAAACATTATTCAGGCACAGAATTGCGAGTAAAATGCTTCATTGTCTACCTCTTTGCAACTTAGCACCCTTTTCTCCATTTTTCTGCCATTGTCTCTGGAGTTTTACCCTCTTTCCTAAGGTTATACTCATATTTGTGTTGTTTAGGTATTGAATGCGGAGGAGCTCTAACACGGGGATGCGCTCATACGCATATGCGCATGATAACGAGGAGGCGGGACTGCAGATGGGGGCGCGGCCATTGGGAGAGACTGAGGGACGTGGCTGCTGGAATGGGAAGAGTGGATGGTGTGAGGATAGGAAGAGGAGGAGGAGGAGGAAGCAGGTGGGAGGTGATAACTGGCCCCGGAGGAGGGGCCCGAGGAAGAGGGCGGATTAGATGGCCCGCTGCCTTTCGTTTGAGGAGGCAGGGGGGTCTGGTTGAGCTGAATGGAGATGTCGCTGGACACCTCAGAGCCGCTGCGTCCACGTTGAGGAGGAGGCCACGAGTCGGGGTGCAGGTACTGGCCACTGTAGTCACTGCATTCAGACAGACGAGGGCGATACAGTGCAGGGTGGGGTCGGTACATCTCTTCCTCAGCGTAACGTTTCATGAAGAGATAGACTGACATGACCCCAGCACCCTAGCCAAACAAAACTAGTCAATGAGGTGCATTATTCAGCTCATTTCAAATTCAGGAGAACATCATAGAAGTTAAATGTTTCTAGAATCTAACAGGTACCAGATAAAGAGATGTTCGGAGAAATCACACTTTTCTCTGTGATAGTGCCATGCAAAAATAAAAATAAAAACAAACTTTCAGGGCTGTTTTTTTTTTTTTAAAGCATAAATTTAGCCAATTAGAAATGCTCTCTGCCCAAGGGGTAAGGGTTTGGCTGGTAAGCATGACCCAGTTAGCCATAACTACACCATCTGGGGGCAAAAAAATGTGACAAGATGGCAGAAAAAGATGAAAGAAAAAACATATGCAAATTCATCAGTGCAATTTTTTATTGAAGACAGTGTTACCGCACATGATGGTCTGGAAAAAAACATGTCATCTGTTTTAATTAACTTTTTTATTTTTGACTTTCAAACGTTTGGGCTTCGTTTTTATTTTGTTTTTATTCAACAGGGGCAAAAGTGACATTTTATAACGACATTGACAGTATTTTATTAAAATAAATGCTTTTCTCCTAAACCAGAGACGCCCAAACTAGGGCCGGTGGGCCAAAGTTGGTTCTTTGTATCCTTTGATTTGGCTAGGCAGAGAGAAAATAATTGGGAAGGATTGGGGAACACCTTAACAGAAATGCTCAATTCTATTTTAATGTAACCTTTTGTTTATTTGTTTGTTTTATTTTTGAGCTACAAAAAAAGCTAAATGAAATTTAAAGTTTCAATTAAATGTTGTAAATAAATCAGAATTTTAAAAAAATGTACATAACAAACGGGACAATGCAGAAGACACGAGCGTGCAAATCAGGTTAATCATTCATGACTAGCGTATTTGACATTGAATTCCATTGTTTTATAAATGGATTTGTTAATGGTTTTACTGAAATAAGCTTGTTAAAATAATATACATTTAATTTTTTTAGAATGCTTTAGTAAATATAGTTGAAGTAATTGTTTTCTATTTATTTATAAATATTATGAAATAAATTAGGATATTACCCATGGCAACTTTAATGTAATAATTATTTACTTAATAAAATCATGACTTCTAGTTGATCATTTGGAAAAGTGGCAGAAGGTAGATTTTTTCGATAAATCATCCATTGAACTGCTTTGCTATCATTACAAATACTGCTAAAGATCTTTTGGAACCCACATGGACCCAAGATTATCATAGAAATCAGTCAAGTTTGGTGAAAAAGATCATGGTTTGGGGTTACATTGGGTGTGGAGCCATGCGAGAGCTCTTTAGAGTGGATGTCAAAATCCACAACCTGTGTTGGCAAGACATTTGTGCTGCCCATTACATTACAAACTGCAGGAAAGGGCAAAATCTTCAGCAGGATAGCGCTCCTTCTCATACTTCATCCTCCACATCAAAGTTCCTGAAAGCAAAGAAGGTCAAAGTGCTCCAGGATTGGCCAGCCCAGTCATTAGACATGAACATTATTGAGCATGTCTGGGGCAAGATGACTCCAAAGAATCTCGATGAACTCTGGAAGTCCTGCAAGAATGCTTCTGTTGCCATTCCAGATGACTTCATTAATACGTTATTTGAGTCATTTCAGAGTTGTAGGGAGGCAGTCTTCCAAACTCATGGGAGTCAAACACAATATTCATTCTTTTCCACTGCACCACGACTGACATGTATATTCTATACTGGACATTATTTCTGTTAAGTGACAAGACTTTTGTCCACTATAATACACCATAATACACTTCTGATACCAAATGATCAAGTAGAAGTGAAGTTATTAATTGTTTGTCTTAAAACTTGGATGAGTGACAAGACTTTTGTCAGGAAGTATATTATTATAGTATGTGCTAGTACATAAACAGGGTCTGATTTTCTCTATTTATTAAATCCTAAACATTTGTCTACCTCCGGATTAAAAGTTAAATGATGTTTCTTAAGTGTGATCTGCTGGGCCCCCCTGCATCTGCATATATATGAATATAAGTGGAGGTTACTGCAGTCACTAGATGCTGACATTTACAAATTGCTGCACTGAACTTGTGAATTAGCATATATGCAGCAAAACAGAAATGTGTAGCCTTCACCCCAGCAAAAGCTTGGCTAAAATTAATGCATACTGATGAGGGCAGACCTATTGGTTTAGAAGCGAACAGCAGTGAAAGCTGTTAACACAGCTGCATATTAATGAACTGAGCTCTGTGATAAGAGTACACACAATGTCAGCTCGAGTGCTAACAGATGCTGGTCTCTGTCACTGACCTCTTTGAGCAGGAAGGAGCTGGCAGCAAAGGCAAACGACCAGCCGTAATGGTAATGAAAGAACTGCTCTGGCTCCCGAGGCCTGTTCATCACTTCATCATTGATACTGGAGATATACAAAACCAGACCAACCACTAAACTCAAACCTGAGAGAGAAAAAAGGGAGAAGACAGTAAGTATTGACAGGATAAAGGATAAGGTTAAATCATGCAAAACATATAGGTTAATAAAAAAAGAGGATAGAGTAGACTAGAAACAACCTACTGAAAAACAATGCTAAATCAAGTTGATTTGGCTTGTCTTAGATCATTTAAGGTAGTTTCTTAGATCTGCCCAAGCTAGATTCATAGCATGACTGGCTGAAAATGCCTAGAAATCCTCTAAAAAAAAAAGCCAGGAGACCCGCCTGAACTGACCCTGGATTTCTCACAGTAGGCCTAGATGTTTTTGGCTTGTCCTAGCAAGTTTAAGATGGCCATCCAGCCTGACCAAGCTTGTATTTAGCTGGATTTCAAACCTGACAAGCTAAAAGAAAGATGAAAACCTCTCAAATACCGCATCAGTATGACCAACCTGACCAGGCTCTAGTTTGTTGGTCCTCCAGTAGATAGTTTACTGGTATTACATGATCTGCTGGTCTGGCCAAGGATGTTTTCATCTTAATTTGTAGCCTGAAAAGTTAAGTGTCCAAAATCCATCCAAAACTATAGCCAAAATCCAGTCTGATAGATAGTTTTCTGTGCTGAGATGGAATAAGGTGGTCTTAGGTGGCCTCCCAGACAAACCAAGTTTGCATTCAACTACATTCGAACCCTCTCATTCTAACCTCCTAGTCAAAAGACCAGTGTTAGCAAATTCTCCTACAATAGATGGTTCAATGTAGGTCTTAGATGGCAATTTCTGATATCACTGAACATCTCTGGTAAACATAGATCTTATAATTATTAGTCTTCTCCTCTAGATGTCACTCTTATCCTTACCTTGCTTGATATCACAGTGAATAGTTAAACATGGCGAACGCAGGTGGGGAAGGTGAACACTTGTATGGTATGTAAATATTTCAGATTTTGTAAGCGCAGGTCTGTTTATTTAACAGTTCCAATCCTTGCCGATCTGGGCCAGTCAGCACAAATACATTCCATACCCAACATAGTGGTGCTAATAACCGATAGCTCTCGAATGTAATACAAATGCGTCAGTTGTTGCCTTGGTAATATAGCAATATATATGATGATCAGATATTTTCTTCTTTTTAATGCTTATTTTTAACTGATATTTACTTTGTTAATGAGTACATATTCTATGAGTCGCATATGGAGAAACTGGCAGCCAGGTAACAGATTGGCTACATCCAGGGGCACCGCTAGGGGGGGAAGTTAAGAGGATTCTAAGGGCTCATGCCGTTTTGGAAAAATGCTTTCATAGGGCCAGTGGCCAGCAGTGTCCCGGCTACATCATTTGCACAATACCGAAACAGTTATCTAAAAAGAGGTCATCCACATACAGAATGTTTTGTAATCATGCTGTGCTGTACTAGGGTTCCATGGACATATAACTGGAACCATACCTGACTGTTATAAGAACCTTTTGTCACCATAGTGGAAAAGCTGACAAGAACAAAGCAATATGCATGATTTGCCATGCTGAGGTGAAATATATATTATGATTGTATATATTATGATTACGTTTGATCTTAAAGGCGCTCTATAAAAATCTAGGTATACCTAGGCATGGGTCCAAGTGGATGCTGCACACTGGTGGTGGTGTGGAGAACCCCCCCCATCCCCCCATGATTGTGAAGCGCTTTGGGTATAAGGCTATACACAATAAATCCGCTATGTAAATACACATTACATTACATAGTTGAAAAGATCAGTACATGAAGATGGGCACACGGTGAGCCTCAGACACCATTGTTTCCTCGATCTCGTGTAAATTCCACGAGTGTAAAACCCAGGTGAAATATAGGCATATCAGAACACAAACCAGACAGTTGCATGACTCTCAGGGCACGCCCTTATCATTTGCATGTACTTTAGGTCATGTTCTATGTTAACTGGACCTAAAGAGCTACCATGTCATCAGGAGATCAACAGGTGCTCTGGGATCATTAGTATGCATGCCCCCAAGCTGCATTTGATACGTTACAACGTCTCCTAGAGCGACAACAATGATCAATGTTATTTGGATGTTTATATTAAATTTACTTTGTATGTATGACTTTTATTTTTAAATGGGAGACACAGATTGTTTACTATTACTGAGCAACAACAAGCACATGTAGACTGCTGAGTGTGTGTAGTTAGTATAAAATGCATGTTTAAGAATCGTGACAGTCACTCAGCTCTTGCTATCATTTTTCTGAAGGGAAAGAACAGCAGTTAATTTTATTAAATGCCATCTGTTTATACAGTGGTTGAAGTCCTGCCTGTGTTTTCATTGACACTGTGTTACCAAAATGCAACCCAAAACATCTTTGGTGGTCTAAAGAGATGGAAATTGTCTAAACTCTCTCTAAAACTAATTGAAAGACCAGTTTGTTTGCTTATTTTAGATTGTTTAAGCTGTTTTGGAGATGCTTTCTCAGCCAAACGTCATCTTAAACAAGCTAGAATACCAGCCTCTATGGCCAGCAAACCAGCTTCAGCAGGTTTAGGGACACATTTTTTTACAGGCATTATTTGTGGCTGCTTATGTGATCTAAGGAGTTGTTTGTGCATTTCAATGTGGTTTCCAGGGTACTCTATGGGGTCATAAACTATGTGATTGCTACTGTGTTTTGTGTAGTAGCTTGGTGAATACTTACTGCCAATGTTATAGCAATGTTTTGGAATGAACTGGGCAACCAGCAGAGTAATAATAGCTTGATTAATTTCTAGAAAATTTGAGCAGTGATAGGGTGATAAGTAAATAAGGTGTTGACATAGTTCAGCCGAAATTAAAAATTCGAAAATTGATTTCCGAAATTGATATTTGGAAATTGATTTCCAAAAATCGAATTCATTTTATTAAACTATTACAGTTTCCATATTTTATCCATAACTTACAAAAGAAAAATAGTAGTTAATAGCTACATAAAAAAAAAAAAAACATGCAAGTAAAAAGCCATCAACCTTTCACATTTTTTGCGACCTCTGGGGTGATTATGTTATATTAAAGGCACAGCACATGGATTTTAGGGCACTAGGTTAAACTTTCTGAGACCTTTACGGCACTCATGTACATCAAAAATAAATACAGGCCATAACTGGACATGGAAGATGGGTCTCTGAGTGGCATTTTTCAAAAGTTAAATGATCAATACACTTGGGCCTATTGGCATGTGTGTGCCGTTGTGTATATAGAAATTGCCGTAGTGTATATATAAGGTTTATATATTTATAGCCACCTCATAGGATATTGGGGGTCATGAGTCACGGGCGGAAAAGTTTGAGAACCCCTGTAATATAGCATGCTCTAATACAAGTCCAGCTGCTCTAACCTCTTCAATGTAGCATAGACTAACATGGCGACACCCATTACCTTTCAAAGATCAACTAATATCATTTATTAATTTTCCTTCGGCTTAGTCCCTCATTTATCAGGGGTCGCCACACCGGAATGTACCGCCAACTATTCATATGTTTTACTCAGTGGAGGCCCTTCTAGTCACAATCCGGCACTAGGAAACACCCATCCACACACTACGGCCAATTTAGTTCATCCAATCTACTTAAAGCACATATCTTTGAAGTTTGGAAGCCACGCGAACTCAGGGAGAAAATGCAAACTCCACACAGAAACGCTAACTGGCCCAGCTATGACTCAAACCAGCAACCTTCTTGCTATGAGGCAACAGAGCTAGCCACTGTGTCACCTTAGATCAACTAATTTTATCTTTTTTAAGATGTTTAAACAATGAAATATATCTTATCACAATATTTGAGAATCAGAATTTTAAATATTCTCAATATGATCAATTTGAGCCAAGAATATTGTCAAGAAGCTTTCAGGGCTCGAAATTGCGAGAGATTCGGTCGCATATGCACCCAATATTTTATCCATGCGACCTCAAAAAATATTTGGGAGCATTTGTGCGACTGCATAAAATTGGTGCCGTGCAACTTGTTTTCGCTGCAAAATGTTCACCGCACACGCAGATTTAGGAGACATTCACGCAGAACGTGTCTTAGCGTTCATGAATAGTTGAAAACAGTTGTCATGTCAACTTGCTGCAGTAAACAAAGTACGCAATGCTTGCCCCGCCTTCAAGCTTTACTGATTGGCCCACTCCTCTAGAACTGAATGCGAACGGATTGGTTAATATCAGCTGTCAATCACTCGGTCGATGCCTTTCTTTAGATGACAGGGAGAGCTACAACCGCGAACATGTAAAGCACTGAAGATGAGAAAATGAAAACAACACTGACAGATTTAGTTTTAGAAAACACCTAAAGTTACAAATAATGACACATCTGATTAGTGATCATGTGCTAAATGTTAATCCACCATTTACTCTTTTCGAAGAGTGAATAAAAGACTTCCAGTGTTTAAAGTACGCTATGAAAATGACTGAAGCATTCACCATAAAGCCGGTTGACAGAGTTTGCAGGTAACAATGTTTGCCAAATCTACACATTTTAAGCGCGAGAAGTTCTGTTTATTCCTTCATTTAAACGTCAGGATGCTATCAGCTGTGCAGGTGGCAGCTATAGGTGAAATTTAACACCACGTGCACCATCGCAAAAGGGCTTGCATTCATTAAGATAAAACAAATTTTGCAGCTCATGAAAGAAACGGTATTGCTATTAAGATGACATATGCAAATAATAAACTATTATGTCAGTATTATCTGTGCAATATTACACAGCACTCGTGAGAACAGCAAAGTTATTATTGTTAACTAAGTTTCATTCATATCCAGCAGTGTGTGCAGGGCTGGTGGGCACATGCAGATGTTTTGTTTGTTTGTTAGATTGTTTAGTGTTGATTTTAAATGCAGTAAACCGGTTAATATAACATTAAAACTTGTAGTAACGGTGCTTATAATTGGTTGGTGCGACTAAATTTTGGCTGGTGCTCCTAACTTTTTATTGTTGGGAGCACCAGTGCTACCAAGCATAAAGGTTAATTTCGAGCCCTGGCTTTGCATGAACAAATACAGCAG